TATATTTATTATATTTATTATATTTATTATACTTATTATATTTATTATATTTATTATATTTATTATATTTATTGTATTTATTATATTTATTATATTTATTATATTTATTATATTTATTATATTTATAAAACTTTAATAATTAAGATTTTTATATTTAAAATATTAGTTCTTATATAAAATATTATATATAACTTTATAAATTCTTTTTATATCTTATAAATACTTTTAAATTTAAATTATTAATTTTATAATTAAGCTTTTTATACTTATAATATATGAAATTTTAATATATATCTTAATATTAAGATCATGAAATAGTAAATTTATAATTTTTTTACTTTATAATATTATATTAATATTTATTATATAACTAAAATAATAAAAATAATAAAAAGTTTATTATATTAAGAATTATTACGTATTTTAATTATATAATATACAAAGAGTATTCTATATACTCAAAATATCTTATATTTGAAAAATTAGAATATTTCATAAAGTGGTTGTTTTTTAATTAATTAAACTATTTTTTATATAAAACGTGCTTTTGGTAGGGTCGTGCTTTTGATAGGGAGTTCGGTTAATGCCCTATCTCGCCAATATAATCGATGCCGAAGTCGAGAACATTTTCGATAATGAGCCGGAAGACGAACAAGTGCGGGACACGTTCAAAGCCGTTTTGCGAATCCACAATAATGTAGTGAAGTGCTCTGAATGCGATAAGCCGGAGGCAAGCTAGGGGGAAGAAGTAGTGAGGCTGCTGTGGGTCTGGCGGCATCGCGGATGCAGAGAAGAGTCATTGTCGAGAATATATTCGTCTGCCTCCTCTGCCAAATTTTGTATCCTTTCTGTTCTTCGCTAATGGCAGGCCAGCACGAGCACTAATATCCAACCAATAACCCTTATTCCACGCGGTTTTGGGGCAGAGGGTCTCCCATACAAAAGGAAGAGGGCCTACTACGATATCTCCCTTGAGCCTACGAAAGACGGGACGCTCCGAATCCAAAAGAGACTAAAATGGTTTTCCGAAGGAGAGGTTCGGAGCATTAACTAGACGGAGAGTTACTACCCACGTGAAAAGCCACTGCTCTCTTCGGTAGAGCTAAAGGAGGCCCAGTCGAATCACGACCCCTTATTACAACTTGGGATATGGAATTCTGCTCTAATTCAGCGACTTGAGGGGCTTTTGGACTTGAAGGGCAATGGAGGTGCCATGTTGCTCGTTTTGTCTATTATAGTGCGCGCACATGCATGGCATATTTGTTACAGTTATATTGAGACGGACAGTGTGGGCAAAAACTACTCAAGCTACTCAAGCTACTCTAGAGTAGTCTTGAGTAGAGTAGAGTAGAGTTTGAGTAGCGTAATATGGTACTTGAGTAGAGTAGAGTAGAGTACTACTCTAGAGTAACTCAAGAATAGTCACTTACGAATCACGTGAATATAGTAAATTAATATTCATTTAATTATTAATAAATAAATAAGGTACCTATTAAGCAGCACTATATAATTTAAGCTAGAACTTATATAAGGCTACTTAAATACTACTTTTCTTCTATAAAAAACAGATTTCCCTTCTCGGAATCTTTCCTTTCCTCCTTTTTTTCTTCTCTTTTTTCTTCTTCTATATTACGCTCTACCGCTTCACTGGTAAATTTAGCGTCACGTGACTGCGATGACGCATGCGGCTGTGCTAGTATTTAGAATACCAAAGCTCCCGCACTCAAGAGCTTCTCTCCTTAGTTTAGAATCCTCGGAATAAGAGCCACTCTACCTTGCTTTTCAAGTCCAGAGGCCCGGTTACATAACATTCTAATTCGTCTTTAAATAATTCCCAGCTTTTTAAGTAAGATATTATCTTAATAGTACTCTTATTAAGTCTATTATATAATTTAGATAATAAAAACATCTTGAGAGAAGAGTCTGCCCTTAATAACCGAAGAAGCCTAAGAATATATTAAGGTTTTACCTTGCTTACTAAGCCTCGCCACTACTTAATTGGGCAGTGCAGTGGCGCTAGACTCGGGCTACCCCGGAGCCTTACCTAATTAGGCTAGCTTGTCACGTGTAACATTACGTGTGGTATCACGTGCATACTACTCAACTACTGTGGTACGGCAAGCCGTACTCTATCAAAATCGCTTTGTTTTGACAGTTTTGATGTTTTGGTCACATGACAAAGGCTGGGGCCTTTTGCACGTGACTTGCGGAAATCTCATAAGAAAGCTGGTTTTTCTGTAGTTCTAGACAACAATCCCTTCTCCATATTCAATCAATTGAGCTTTTGCACACTGTATACTGTTTATGCTTTACTATTTATGCCTTTAATCTTATTGTTTTGCTGTCAAGTCACGTTTTGCGCTCTGGTATACTTTATGTGGGTTTTTGTCTTGTCGCAGTTTCCCTCCCACACTACTCTAGAATATTCTAGAGTAGTTGAGTAGAGTATTGAGTAGAGTATAAGTAGTGAGAAATTTATTTGAGTAGAACAGGCTTGGCTATGATCCTGGAACGATCCGTATCGTTCCTAAGCGAAATTGTGCCTTAGGCCTTAAACTGCCCTATAATTATAGGGAGCTTATAGCGTACTTCTACTTAGACTTATAAATAACTTTATAACTCCTAATTATATAAAAAAAACTTTTAGTTACGTAATTACTCTATTTAATCCTAGCTTTCTATTTATATTATATATAGGAAATTTAGATTTAAGCTTATCTCAATGCGGCGAAAAGAAGTGTTTTGAGTTTTCGTGAGGCTCGTTTAATTAGGAAGTACCTCCTATATAAATTTACTATGTAAGGTAAGAGCATGCGGCATTACTCGTCGTACACGTGATTTACCCCACTAACCCCACCAAAATCGCGATTTTTCAGCCCACACTCCAATATAATTCCCAAAATAATTAAAGTACTAGATTTATTAAGGCTTTAGTATACAGTAGCCATACCCTTACTATTAATCACATCTTCTAGCTTACAAGTAAGCCTTTCCGTCAAATATCACTATTCCGTTGGATTAACTTCGCTCTATAACTCTTATAAGACCTCCTTTATATCCTCAATTAAAGTAGAAACAGTTTCCAACTTTATAATCTCATTTTTCATCCATTGCCAGACCTTCTCAATTGGATTTAAATCAGGAGAAGAGGGAGGCTAATCAAATCCACGTAATCCATATAACTTTCGGGGTAGCTTTGCCATACCCTTATGGATCTTTGCCCCGTCTTCTATAAACTCCTTCTTTTGCTCTACTATTAAGGAGTCAAACCATGGAAAAACAATAGGATTAAGGACTTGGTTCAAGTAGGCTATACTACAAATCCCCTTCTTCCCTGGCTCCTTTACCAAGAAAATAAGCGGGGACTTCTAATCCTAGCTAATCGCTCTCCAAACTATTACACTCACTTTACCACTCCTGTATAAAGATTATATATAATCTGGGTAATTCTTCTCATCCGGCCGACGTGTAACCCAAATTCTCCCACTCTGGTAAAGCCTGTAACCTCCCTAATTTGGCTATAGCTTTTCCCTTACTAGCGGAGTGAGCGAATAGTAGTATAAACAGGAGTTCTCCCGTTCTCATTAGGTTAGTAATCCTTAAGAACGGACGGAGAGAGGATATTTGAGATTTCTGAGTCTGATTCTGAGTCTTCCATTATTATACAATAATAATTAAAGAAGAAAAATGGTAGTTTGTGGGAAAAGAAGTGGTGAAGTGTGGGTTTCGGTGAGGGGTAGTCACGTGTTCGCTTAGGTGTACGACGAGCAATGCCGCATGCTCTTACTTTGCCCTGGATCGATCCAACCATTCCAGGAACATTGCCAAGCCTGGAGTAGAATATGAGTAGGGCCCACTACTCTACTCTACTCTACTCATTTCCCACACTGGAGACGGATGAGGAGGATAGAAAGGAGGGGAGCCAGTAGCTGAACTATAGTATCGCTTAAGTTGAACCATATTATCAGTAGCAAGAATACCCTTGTATTTTCCATAATATGGTTCAACTTCCCTCACCAAAAACCACACTGTACTCACTATCTTTAATGATATATAGATACCTGTCCTCGTTTATACCTACCTTCCAACCCTGACCTTCTCCCAACGGCCCGCCAGGCATACTCCCAGCATATGCTTAACCTTTACTACTAAGAAGCAGCATATAAGTAAGTTAGAATACATCTTGTTTTACTATTATTATTGCTCTAGTATATGCTCGGTATATAGAACCCATATACTTAGCATATGCTTTACTTTATTACTAAGAAGCAGTATATAAGTAAGTTAGAATATATCCTGCTTTATTATTACCCGTAATATATGCTCGGTATATAGAAATCATATGTCTAGTATATGCTTTACTTTACTACTAAGAAGCACACAAGCAAGCTAGAAAACACCCTGTTTTATTACTATCCGTAATATATGCCCGGTATATGGAATCCATATGCCTAGCATATGCTAACCCTAACCCGTAGAGCCTTTACGTTGTAATATATCCCAATGCGGGGGGCTCTCACCGCCCCCCAACCCCCCGGACTAACCCAGACCCTAACCCCTGACCTTAAGCCCCCTCGCAAGCTCGGGGCTAACCCGAACCTTCCTAGCCCATATAGCTTATAGCCTATATATATGCAGAGCATAAGGAGAGCATATGCAGAGTATAAGAAGAGTATATGCCTAAAATATAATGGTCACAAAACCTATTCATTTGCTAGGCTAGCTGTCTTGCTTCCTTAAGCGATACTATGGTTCAGCTAAATAAACGAGCATATGCAGAGTTTGATCATATAGTTCAACTTAAGCGATACTATAGTTCAACTAAAACCCCAAAGGATGGTGGGTGGCTCTGCTGTCCCCTAGTTTATTGAATAGAAGCTAACTTTCTCAGATATTACGTGGAATGCTCGAAATTAGAAGCACGGCCGATCTCAATAGAGTATATAGAATATTAGGCATCTTAGAAGTTATCGCTGTTTACGGCGTCGAAGAATATTGGGGTTGGTTATCACAATTACTGCTTGCCTTATAAGAAAGATGAAGAGAAGGAGCAGGGCTAGATCCACGGCCATATAACACTATTTGGCTCAAACGAACGCGCAGAGAACCTTTTTGGATGCAGCCTGACAGTTTCTAAGAGCAATTTAAGTTCGCTTAATAAAAAGTGAAGCCATCTCATTACCAAGTTTGCTAATGCTCATTAAGAGATCCTTCGATATCATACGTTAGCTCACCTTCGCCTTTCTCCCCGACGCCGACACCCTTTTCCATCTGGGAATCCCCATCAGCTTGGAAGTCCTGATCTGTATAGAATAGTTCTTGGTCATCCTGATAGCCCTCAACGCCACCAGCTGTCTGGTCCCAGAATTCCTGGTTGACGCTTGATTCTTGTGCTAAACGGACAACAGTTGCTCCGTATTCTGTAAGTAAGGAAATCATATCCCAATTGGCAAACTCCTTCGAATACTCTAAAGACAATGCTAGCGAGAGCAGATATCGATGATCTCTGAGAGCAGTCTTGCTTAAAGACTTTAGGAGAACCCGAGCGATTTCAACTTGGCTACTCCGAGCAGCTGATTCCACAGCGCTCCAAACTTCCGCTCCCCCTTCAACAAGAGTTTGAATCACTTCCAGTGGTTGATCCAGTCGTTTGGCAGCAACCATGAGCGCTGTGTTCCCATCGTTATCAACCATCTCAATATTAGCCCCCCTTTCAATAAGGATTTGAAGAACTTGTCGATATATCTCCCAAGGAGAACACGTTACTCCCAGCATTAACGCAGTCTTTCCGTTGGTATTGATCGCATTGATGTTGGCCCCGTGGTCTAGGAGAATTCCTAATTTCGCTGGATTCCCCAACTTAACTGCTATATGCAATGCCGTGTTACCATCAGAGTCGCTGCTCTTGTCGTTTACATCAGCGCCGTACTCCAGCAATACTTTCAAGGTGGCATCTTCCCCATATTCCACCGCAAGTTGCAAAGGTCTCCGCGACTCTTGTTCATACTCGGATCTATTTCCTACTGCATTAACGTTTGCTCCATTTTCAAGAAGAAGCCTGACCAGGGCTGCTGCACTAGCTGAGTTGGCCCTCTGAGCAAGTGCTTGAAGGCTTGTGTTTCGCTTGTAATGAACCCAGTTGATCATCTCGTGTGTAAAAACAGCTCCTTTGTCCAACAGCTCTCGAACCACTGTTTCGTGGCATTGAACCGCTGCTAAGTCAATTGCTGACCCCCCACTTCCGTATTTCTGGTCATCTTTCTTCGTGAAATCAGCTCCCCTCTCAAACAACAAGCGAACGACCTCAAGCTTGCCATTTGATGCAGCAGCCATCATCGGCGTCCCATAATTCCCTCGAAGATAATCGATATCGGCTCCTAAATCAAGGAGATGTGAAACGGCCTCGCAATCTCCTTTACGGGCCGCCGCTTGTAGAACGTTTCCTTTTGTCCCACCACCTTCCTCGATAACCTTGGCCTGCTCTGTGTACAAAATTTCTATCATGTGATCGATATCCTCTTCCGAAAATTTGCGTAACTTAGTCGGAAGTATCGACGGATCTTTTTTGAGTGCCCAGCCCAGGAGAATTTTGGCGCATGACACCTTCTTTTCTTTGATCGCTGCGTTCAGTGCTCGATTGAAATCCCTTGGGGCTTTTTTAACATAGTGATCCGAGTCTTTTTCTAAGAGAAGAGATACGGCTTCCAAATGTCCATGTGTGGATGCCATAGCAAGCGCACCTGTTTCGGTATAAGATGCATAGGACCTGGATCTTAGGTAATTCTTGTCATCTAGCAACTTCCTAGCAATGGAGATGTGGCAGTTTCGAGAAGCTATCGCGAGGGCACTCTCACCCACTCGGATATTGATGTCGGCGCCTTTCTCTACTAGAATATCAAAAAGCTCCTCATCTCCGATCTCACATACTTTGAGTATAGATGTACTCTTTTTGTGAACGTGGTTGAGTTCAGAAGGTGTCCCCAACAAGTCCAGGAGAGTTAATGCTGCTTTCCTATATCCTAGTGTCAGAGCTTGCAAAACAAAGCCCGTCTTCCTCTGTGGAAAGGAAGTCAGCTCTCTCGCTAGAGCCGCGACGGCCAGGAGGTTATTCGCCGCTATTGCGTCTTCGAGTGCCTGTTCCAAAGTGCGAGTTTTGATATCCGGGAATACTGGAGTCTGGGGCAGATCCTCGTGACATAGACCGAGATGGGTTTTCAGGGCCGAGTCCGATGGTAAACCCAGTACAGAATAGTCACAGGTGTTATGGGGGCACATGAATGATCTCCGGTGCTGATTGCAATGCCTTTCGCGTTCCTTGTGGGTTCCGAATCCGGCCACAAAGTAAGGACACCGCAAAACTGGGCATCGAAATGGCGATTTCCCATAAAACTTGTCGAGATTGTCCTGCTCCGCACCCTGGATGACCTGACCTTCAATCACGGACCGAGAATGACAGATTTGCCCTAATAAGTATGGCAGTCGCTCTTCTATTCAAAGTTAGTTTACAATTTATGCGGAAGAAGAAGGTCTTACGTGTCTCTGGATCTTCTGTTAATATTGTGTCCGTCTGGTCATAAAGCTGTTGGATCTCACTCGATAACCGAATAAAGTCTGCTCTGCATAGTCGACCTGATTCAAATTCCCATGAGCACGCTGACTGAATCCTCTGACGCTCTTGTAGTATCAGAATTGCTTTCTGCAGGGATTTCGGGATTACTGTTTCAATGTTGGTAGTCCTTAAAAGAGATTCCAAATGCTTGAACCAGTTGCATGCCGCATATTCTTGAAAAGCAAGGTCACCACTCAAGACGCTTGCAGCAAATGTGTCTTCCGCGCATCCTGGACTGAACGGATCAAATGTAAGGTACGAGGTGCAGAAAGTCGCCATAAATTCTTCGGCCTCAGAACTTTTGATGTAATAACCGCTGTGATGTTGCCACAGATATCTATAATCGTCAGCTTCATGTCACCCAAGAAGGATCCGTGATTTACTCCTTTGCTGTTGGATGTATCAAATCAACAATTCCGTTCTGACGAATTTGAATTATTGGCCCGCAGAGATCATCAAGTGGAAATCTCGAATGCCGATTTTCGAAGTCGACATTCTGTTCATCGAGATTGATGGCAAGAGCGCCTTGAATTTCATGAGCATATAACACTCGTTTTGAGGTGGTGACGAGAGTGAGGACGAGCTTTGCTCTCTGCAGACGCTTTTCCACTTGATTGGGATTCCTGGAGGTGGCTTTCCCAATTCTGACGAGCATACGGCCGTATCTGGAAGTGTTTTTCAATGTTATATTTCGAGCCCAGGTTGAGAGCCAACGTACGCTTCATTTATGCCATGAGGTAGCACCTCAAATCTTAGCTCTTGGTTTAGATCTTCTAGATTGTCTTGAGATAACAAATTGTCCATTATGAGGCGAGACAGAAGGAACATCCCTGTGTTTGGCTTTATCAGCATGAGAATTTCAATCTGGTTTCGGGAAAGGGGCTCACCCTTGGGCCGTGTGCAGATCTCCTTTGAGATAAGTTGCTCCCTTTCCTGAGTGAACTTAAATCTCTGGCATAACTGAGCCATTTTGAATGTGACATATGCTGTGATATCATTTTCAAGATTCTGCGGTTTTATATTGAACTTGGTTGCTGTTTTCAACGATTTCTCGAGGTCTTTCTCTTGTCGACTCGTGACAATTATTCGAACATTTGCCTGCTCATCGTTCGTTCTCGAACCGATAGTGATCAGGTTCGAAAACAGCTTTCGTTCTTCTTCAGAACATTCGTCTAGGCCGTCGATTCCAATATATAATGAATCATGATTTGTTAATATCTGGCCGAGGATTTGAAGAAGTTTCGATGGATCCTTGGCTCGCCGCTCGCCGCCTGCGAGCATGGACTCATAAATGAAATCCAAGCTGTTCGGATTAATCTGAAAGATTTGTGAAATAAGACTCTTGGCAATATCTGTGAAGTGTGATCGAAGTGGGTCGTTGTTCTTGCAATAAAAGTATACGACTTGAGCATCTGGCAGAGTCGCACTGATCTCATCAATTACAGAACTAAAAATCACCGTCTTGCCTTCACGAATTTATCTTAGTCAAAAGCCGAGCGAAGGAAAGTGAAAAATTAATTATTAAATGACATACCGGCTCCTGGAATTCCGCACAACCAAAATGTACAAGGTGTGTAATCGGTACATTTGAGCCAGCCCAACATCTGCGGCTGAGAGAATATCCATCGCGTCGTCTGCGGTAGCATGGCTCGGATCTTCCGGAGTTCTTGGTGCTGAATTGCAGAGTTCGTTTCACTCGAAAGCCAGTCCATGATAGCTATTCTACGCTGGTTCTGCTGTCCATCTAGCAAAACTTCCATTTCTTTGGTGAAAAGAATCCGAGCTTCTTGGGATTCTTGAAAATGTGCGACATTGGCTGATTGGAGTATCAAATCTCGGGATCGGTCTAGTTTCTTCAAAATGTCCTCAAACATGTCACTAAAAGTGTGGTAGGTTAACTTAAACGTTAACTTCCATGCTGTAGACGGGCACGACGTTAGCAGAAAGTCAAGAAATAAACCGAGAATCTCATCGTACTTCCATGCTTGAAAAATACAATCGCACGCTTGTGAAAGTCTAGGATATCCTCGAATATATCGGCCAAGACCTGCTTCACATGGGGATGGCTGCAAAATATTGCGTCGACTGTCGAGAGAATCGGTAGAGAATTCCCTATCCTCTCATACGCATCCAACAACGCGTCGAAAGCTTCGTTGAGCTTTGAGGCAATCTAGTTCACCATTCAACTGAATACAAGACAGCTCTATCTTGTGGAACTTCTTACCTGGAGGCATAATTTTATTGGACCCTATTTTTGATTATCAACAGAATTTTCTCTGGGGTCTTTCACAACGACTAACCCATATGAAAGCAAGTAACTCGGGTTTGGCTTGTACAAATACCTCGAGAACTCCAGCATATTGTTTCAGGCCGTGTAAGAAAGGCTTGATCTTATTCAGATTTCGAAGACCCTTTCTTGCCGCTTGTTCCGTCTGTATCCTCTTGATTGAAGCCTTTAGGTCATCAAAAGTTGCAAGCTGGAACAGTTCAGTGTGTTCTGATGAGAGTCGGGTTTTAAAGCTGGCGAGGATGTTCTCAAAATTGCTGGGCATAGACGAGGCCATCGATCTCAGGCTACACCCAGGGTAGTGGGCGATTATTTCAGTTGTGGAATCCGTGGGACCGTGTTAGGATTTCCCAAAGAGATCTGGACTGGGAAATGGAATTTTTAGAAACGCAGTTCAGATGAAGAGAATTAGTTCATCATTGCGAAGGTAGCTAACTAGTTCAGATGTGGTTGCCTGCTGCCTACCTTGGTCGTCAGTACTCAGCCACCGCCACGTATGTTACTCAATGCGCTGTACGAAGGCGGGCGGCATTAAAAATCGTCCATCCGCTAAAAAGCGAGGAACACCAAATCGCTACCTTTGGAAAATCACACCAAATCTCAATGCAATCCCTCAAACTCTTTAAAATAGCTTTGTGAGGTAGAAAAGAAGCATATCTAACTTTTGTAAGATTTTCTCAATAATTAAGTACAATACGGAATTACGAGAATTTTTATATTGCGAGAGTTAACGTTATGCCCGCCCTCGCTTAGCGAATTGGACGATTTTTAATGCCGCCCCGCCTTCGTAGCTCCAGGATGCTTGGCAGGCTTGAGAACAGCAACAATACCTTTTGTTTAATTTCAATCTCTAACTCTGAGATATGACTTTGAGAGACGGGCAAAATTAAAGGCGAGGGTTTTGGAAGAGTCATGTTTATTCTGACGAGTGTTTTATCACATAATATGGAGTACGGATGGTGAAACTTCAATTCTTCGTGCGGAAAAGGACGACGACGGCTTGCGACGACTCAACACCTCCGCGTAGTGCAAGCTGGAAACCTTTAGTGCTATTATCGAGATAGTATCTAGAGGGCTAAGATTGAGTCACGATCGATTATACGCGCCCCTGTGAGCGACCTCGTCCACCGCTCCATTGACACTACAATCAATAACACTAGAACAATCACGACAAGTCTTCTGCCAGAGACCACGATCACGATCAACGATAATATTGATACGCTGGTGAGAGCGCGCCCACGATAATCCTTTCCTCTCTCGATCGCCGAATCCACGATGCTCGATTTATACAAATAAACCACCGATTAATAGGGAAGGTCTAGTAGACTTCCCTCAATACATATACACGTCAAATACACAAGGCTCGGGAAAGCGAGGTATAAGACCTAGTAAAGGAAAGACGTATTTATAGGTAGGATAAGCCTGTAATTAATTACTCTATACGTTCAAGACAAGAGAGAAGCTAGTTAAGGGGTAGATACGAGGGCCTCTTTTGAGGAGATACACATCTCCGGCTTCAGCGACGGTATTGCCTACTAGGGCTACATCTCATTTCGAGAAGTCACCCTTTGATAGCTCCGCGCTTGGAGCAAATTGCTGGAAATGTTTCACAAAACATCGTACGATGCAAACAATATACAGTCAGTGATTCATCCAAGTTGAAGCTCCTGAGGAAAAGTTTGATTTCACAATTTCACTTAAAACGTAGCGAGCAAAGACAATCGTAGAGTAGTGAGAACGTTTCCATTCGAATTTTTGCTCACCCCAGACAACCCCCATCCATCACCACCAATCTATCTGCACCATGAGACGCAACCAAGGAGAAAATGCAGGGAAAACGAGAGCAGCAAGGTCAAAGCAGGTAGGAAACACATCAGGGAAAATTGCCTAGGTAATAAAGTACAGCAGTGACAATCGAGGGTTTAAGCACCCACCCCGAATGCACACCGCAAGCTGCTCCAGCCCCCACAGCAAAAAGCCATGATATATGCAGCAACTTCCACCTGCCGCACCAACCACCACCCTCTCCCGTCAACGCAATCAACAGTCTACTGCTCCCCCATTACAAACTACCAACTACCACCAAGCCAAACCAGCCCCAGGTCTATACTACAGGGTGTGCAATCGTTTACTTGAAGGCCTTGCCGAACATCAAGACCTGCATTTGATCATAGATGGACAGGACACCGGCACCAGCGACACCACGAAGAATGTTGGCACCTGCACCCTTGAAGAGAGACTTGACACCCTCCTTGGCGATGATTTGGCGACCGGCATCGATGGAAGACTTGTACTTGACGGCCTCACCGGAGGTCATCATCATACGACGACGGATGGTGTCCAATGGGTAGGAAGCAATACCGGCACCGGTGGTGACACCCCATCCGAGGAGGAAGGAGGCCAGGAAGTTACCCTCAAGAGGACCGACAAGGACGACGGGCTTGATCGAGTCGTACATACCGAAGTAGAGACCACGGTAGACGATGATACCAGCGACGGAAGGACCGAAACCACGATAGAGACCGGCGATACCATCGGAGGCGAGGGTCTTCTTGTAGACATCGATCAGACCGTTGAATTGGCGCTCACCACCGGTCTTGGCGTTCTTGTTGTCGTTGGCAAGACGAGTTCGGGCGTAATCGAGGGAGTAGACGAAGAGGAGGGAAGTAGCACCGGCAGCCTGGGAATATTAGCAGATGTATTTGCAGATGAGAATGGAGAGAACGTACACCACCAGAGGCCAAGTTACCAGCCATCCACTTGGCGTATCCATCACGTTCCTTCTTGAAGGCGAACATCGACTTGTAGGTATCACGGAAAGCGAAGTTCAGGGCCTGGGTAGGGAAGTAACGGATAACGTTGGCAGTGTTACCGCGCCACAGCGAAGCAACACCTTCTTGGGCAGTGGTTCGTCGGAAACACTCCACGATACCATCGTACTTTCGGTCGAGACGACCAGACTTCAACATCTCATCCTGGGAGAGGGTCAGTCAAAATGCCAAATTTACATCTTTAGATATTGAGATTGGAGATGTTGCCAATTGCCAATGAGATGTATCAAAGGTAAATGATAATCAATGAACTTGGTAGATCGGCACGTCCACATGCGGATACCCGGCACGGTGCATATTTTGGAGAAATTTTTTGAGAAGTGAGAACATACCTGATTTTGGATCAAGAGCTTGACACGCTCGATAGGAGCAGCAGCGGTCTTCGAGACGGCGGCAGAGACACCACCCACTGTTATCACGGATCAGTTTCTGACATCTTGAATTCCAGTTGCCAAAACCATCATCCATCCACGTCTTCGGCGGCGATAGTGGTCGTGGGGTCTTGGCAGAGGGAGACGTACTCAAGAAGTCGATGACGAAAGGAGGACTGTTGAGAAACGGGTCAGTTTAGGTTTCTTTTGGGGGTATGAACTGAGATGGATAAAATTTGAACGCAGCGCCATTGAGCCCCAACGAAGCTCTCTCAGCGACAGCAGGGCAGGCAGAGCATGCCTATGCCATTGGCAGAGGCCAATTGAGCCCCATTGAGGCCGGATGGCGATGATCGGGATTCGTGGTGGAATCCGGTCGCGATCACAGGCAAAGACTTCAGTGGTTTTGGAGATAACACTTACACGCCCATGACGGACTGCTTCTTTGGCGGCTCGTTGCTCATGTTTGCGACGGGCGATCAGCGATCAAAGGACTGAGGGGAGATGGGAGTATGAAGAAGAGATGGATGGGAGTCGAGGATGGACGTTCGACGGGAAGAATTTATTTGCGGAAAAAGGGTCGAGAAGCTGAGGACAGAAAATCTTGAGGCGAGGAGGCTAGCGCAAATTAGCGTCCCGAAAGATACCGGTTGTGGCCTGAGCTTTAAGGCATGGAATCAAATCTTGCAAAAATCGAAGCCGACAAAAGACTTTATGTTTCACTGAATATTGAAGAAAGGGTCGATGTTTTCATGTTTTGATTGTATTTCGTGTCTTGGTGCATTGCACTGTATAATGCTTTATTTGTTCTTGTATTTCTATTGATTCATCTCTTAGTCCAGCCCTGAAAGTGCCGCACCACAGCCAAATCTTTCCAGTCCGGTCTCCCGGCGGCTCGGTGACTGAGAATTCCTCCATTTGGCCAGCAAGAAAGGAACATTCAGCGTCCATCTAAGCGTGCACTTCTCATTTCCACCGTCAATGCCTCTAATGGCAAAAAGACTTCTAATATCAGGTTTTGTGATTAGTTTCGGCCTATTGGTGGTTTTGGGAAGGATTTGAGCAACGATGACACCCGCAGTTCATTGACCTCCTGCCCTCAGATGCAGGCTTTGGGTATTCCCCCTTCACGAAAATCGCGGAGGATGGACCACCAATAGATATGGATCCTTCGTCGAATGGAATTCATAGCTTTCTTTCTCAGCCTTGGACGTGAGAGGTGGACGTTCCGGACCTGCGGATACGCGGAGAAGAGATACAATTTCTTCGGTAGTATATATTGAGCACTGTGAGGGATTGAACGAGAGGTCCTATATGAAATATACGTGGAGAAGCTAGAACCTTATGAGCTGGAGACTTTTCGTTGTACAGCACCGTGTCTGAACATTTCCAACTGATTTTCCTGGGCGTGGGGGTATCGTTGCAGCAGCTGCAGAACTAGAAAAGAGGAAAGAGAAAAAGAGGATGAATACCAGTAAAATGCCAAAATTAATACCTGCAAATGATTGTATCAATCTTAACATCCAACCAAACCAAATTTAGTCTTAATCATGATCCCAAGAGAAAAGTGCAATTATCGAAGCAAAATCGATGTTCTCTCCAAGTCGCGTTGCACGGCAACCACTCTCGGCTGCCCGAACTTTGCGTTCCACCTAAGTAAACAACCAAACCTTGCCCGCCTCAGAAAAATCCATCCTTTATCCTCCATCGCAGAAATCCCTAACCACCCACAATTACTGCAACAGGATACAACCCATTGATATATCCCATCCAGCAATGGATCCAACCTTCAAATTCCCCGGCTCGCCAGGGACACCACTCTTCCAAGTATCCCCAGAACGCGTCAACCAGCAGCGACCATCGCATTCCCACACCACGTCCTTCGACTCCTCCACCAGTCCAACAAACCAGAACAGACACACGCGCGAGAGTAGCATAGTACAAGATAAAGTCGCAGTCTTTAATTCGTTGGCATATCAAGGGAAACAGCTGGAGAGGAAGACCAACGATGCAGCGCTCAAGCGCGCGATGCTGGGGCGCGAGGAGGCCGAGAGCGAGATGCGGCGGTACAGAGAGGAGACACGTGGTTTAAGGCGTCAGGTTGAAGAGGGGAAGGAGAGAGAACGGAGGGTGGGGGAGAGGTTGGAGAATGTTATGGTTTGTCGTCCTACCTCATTTCTTCCTTGATGGTTCTAGAAGTACTGATCTGGGTTAACAATTATAGGAAAACTATGGCCGCGCGAAAGAAACCCACGCACATACACAAGCACTGTGGGAAAAGGAGATCCGAAGGGCTCGCAAAGAGTCCTTCAAAAGCCAGTCTGTGATCGTCAAGATACAAGAGGAGCTCAAGTCCTCGCGCAACCTGCTCAAGATGGCGCAAGTGGATCTAGAAGCAGAGAAAGAGCGCAGCGTGAAGCGCGAACAAGAAGCGTTCGCAGCACGGTACCAATTAGTCGGCGTGCAAGAGGAACTCGCCCAGATGCAAGAAACTATCAAGCTCGTCGAGCAAGAACGCGATGCCTTACGCACGATCGCGAAGAACGAAGAGATTGCGCGGATCGCAGCAGAGGGACGAATTCCATTGCCTGTGCAGAAAGAAGATGATGAGTTTGCGAGCCCGAAGAAGGCGCGCAGAAGTTTGACTCCAGTGATGATTACGAGTTCCGCTACGGCAGAGGAGGAGCTCAACGATTTGCGGCAGCAAGTTGAATGGGAGAAGCAGCGAGCGGAACGGGCACATGAACGTGTTGAGTTCCTAGAGATGGAGTGCAAGCTTAACTGCTGTGCTTCCAAGAAGACCTCGCGTCCTTCTACATCTGATGGGATTCCCAAGATGAGAGCCCCGCCAAGCGCGGTCTTCATCCCAGCAGAAGGTATCTTCCGCACCGTTTCTCCAGCGCAGGAAGAAAGTCCCTGGATCTCACCAGCAAAGAAGACACAGCCTATCTTTGAGCGTCCTGCTCAAAGAGTGCCGGAACAGAGATCTTATGCAAGAACCCCGTCTTGCGATCCGCCTGCGTATGCAATTCCTTCAGAAGCAAATACGTCTCTCCTCTCTTTACTCGACGCACCACAATCGCCATCTCCAGCCTCCTCCCCCGTGGAACCCACCTACCCAGAAACCGAAATCGAGAGCGAAAGCAACACAACGATAATCCAAACTACCTCGGAAGACACAACGACCACCATCACAGGCGTAATCCAGACCTTCCACACCGTGTCAACAACCACCCGCATCCCACTCGCCAAGCCCGACGACCTGACACCTCCTACAACGCTCCCCTTACCAGCGAGCTTAGACCCAGCATTGAGTCCAACGATGAGCAGAGAGGAGGCATTAGCTATGATCCGCGAGCGGAGAGGGCGGGCGAGGAGTCTGGCACAGGGGACACTGACGCCGAGAAAGCAGATGGTGGAGGGTGGTGTGAGGAGGGATATTAGTGCGCCTGCTGTTAGAAGTGGAGGTGTTAGGGGGAGACAGGGGAGAATTGTATGATGGGTCATCAGCTGAGCGTGGTTTTGGATCAGAACGCGGTGTGTGTGAGAGAAGGAGAGCAGAGTAGAGGTTTATTCTTGAAGCGGCATATCATAGCACCTGGCGTTCTTTCTGGATGGCGGGTGTTCTGGTGCTTATTGCTCTGTTTTGGCCATCTTATTGTAGTGTAATTATGTTAGAATCAATCTTTCCGTCGTGCAAACTGTCCCCCCCTTCTCAATTGCTTTCTCTGTTTCGCTGATCTCCGACTTCGCCTCCTTGAATTTCAATAACACGGCTCCTTCCATACCAACCAACTAGCAACCAAACGAAACCAAATCCAGGCTGGAGAACTCCTTTTCTTTCCAACCACGCTTTTCTGGCCTTTAGCCATCAACTCCTCTCAAATTTCAAACTTGAAGAAAGGAGGATCACGTGCCCTCGCGCACCCTCGAAATCGCGTCGGCCCGTTTCACGAAAACGCGTCGAAACTGCCTCAATCGTCCTCGGCACCACAACCCCCTCTACACTCCATCTCCAGCCTACGTAAAGAATCGATTCTCCTTTCCCTCGACACGAAACTTCTCTTTCTACGAGTTCGCTTAGACGAGTCAGCAGCGAGGAACGCAGGAGGACGGGGTGGCAGAGGGAAGAAGCATTGGAGAGGGGAAATAAACACGGGAAATACGGTAGCCGCAACCTTCGAAGAGCCAGAGCAGGAAAGACACGAGAAAATAGACAAGGAAAGGGAGAAGAGAAGGAGAGTAGCAAATATGCCGCCAAAGCCCTTCAATCCGCCTCGCCCCTCGACGTCCACCCCCTCTGCCCCGAAAGCGAAGGGACGACCGAAGGGCTCCACGAATAAAGCAAAAGACAGCACTTCTACGAGCAAGACCTCAAACGGCGTCAAGAAATCCACAAAGTCGTTAGCGGGGAATGGCAAGGCGAAGAGCGGAGACAAAGGGGCGAGGTTGAGCGCTGCTTCGATACGAAGCCTCTTACCTAGTTTAAGCCCAGATACCTCCGACGTGGAAACCAGCTCTGTGCCAGGAGACGCGGGAGAAGATTCAGACGACCCCTTCGCATCTCAACCTCGCCCCTCCACTTCCAAGTCCAGACGCCCTTCTACCACCAACCAAGCGCGAATCAAAAAAGAAGAAGAAGACGCCCATGCAGCGGGTTTGGATGAGAGGAAAGAGCATATCCCGGACGATTTGTTGGCTGTGGTATTGGGTAGGTTTTTTAGGGAGCGAGGGAGTGGGGGCACGAGGATGAGTCGCGATGCCGTGAGGGCGGTGGGGAGGTATATGGATACGTTTGTCAGGGAGGGGGTTGCGCGGGGGGCGTGGGCGGGTGAGGAGAGGGGGAATGGGGTGCTGGAGGTGGAGGATTTGGAGAGGTTGGCGCCGCAGCTTTTGTTGGATTTTTGAGGGGTGGAGGGTTGAGATCAATGGGGTAGCATTGCCATACTGTTAGTATGCGTTGACAAGAAATGATGCTTATGTTCGGAGTATGGAGTATTGGGAGAAGTGTGGATCTTTGGACTGTTGTGAACTAGGGCCTGTGGAGGGCGGTGATGTGTGGGCTAGTCAACGGCGTGGAAGTCGGAGAGAGACATACATGTATGAACAGGGCTGAATAGAGATACCCAGCACTCAGACTTCACTACCAAGCACACTCAGGTCGATTGGCTTTCAGTGTCCAACGTCGGACAACAAGTCCAATGACGAATACGATGAAGAGGGACCTAGAAGCATTGAAAAATAATGGCATGCATAAATAATCATCTATTGATTGGGATCTGCTCAGCTCAGCTTTGCATCGCGAGCTCAAAATAACCGTCCTCATCCATTGACACAAAAAATACCTTGTCTCACCGCCTTCAAATTAAACACCTTTCGTTCTATGTACTCCCTTTTCTCTCCACCACCACCACCACTAGTTCCTCAACTTTTTCCACTCGCTCAAAACTGAGCAGCTGAATAGAACAAGAGCTCTGCTCCATCAAATAATTCATAGCAGAAGCACAGCAAACATCGCCACAACACCGCCCATAAGGCTCGCCCGTACGACTGACGATCCGGATGTCGTCGACTTGGCGCTGCCTGCGGATGTCGTGCTGGAGGCCGAGCCCGAGTCGGAGCCTGGAGTGCTGGACGAGCCGGACGTGCCCGAGGTGCCGGATGTCCCGGACGAACCGGATGTCGCGGTGCCGGGAAGATTGGCGGTTGCTTGGGCGGCGAGGGCTTTGAAGGCAGCAAGGGTTTTGTTTGAGGATGCGCTGGAGGATTTGTCAGCTTTCGCTCTTCTTCCGCTTGTTTTCATTTCAAGTTCGAAGCGAGGGAGAGCGGCGCTTACACTTCATTAATCACCATTACCATCCCCTTCTGACAATGCATCCCCTGCGAGCAATAAATCCAAATCGCGCTCGTGGTGTTGATCATGATCGTGTACGTCGGCGTTGTCGTCGCGGTGCTCGCTACGGGCATGAAACCGCTGAAGAAACCAGTTGTGCCGGGTGAGTTCAAGGAGATGGGTTGGCAGGGCTGCGCGAAGGTGGATTGTGTCACGGTGTGGTTGTTGGGCGCGAACTGGAACTGCACCATGTCGCCGACGGCGGCTTTGATGTTGTTGGGCGAGTAGGTGAGGGAGCCGTTTGCGCTGCCGACTTTCACGGCGTGCACGACGACTTGGCCTGTTGAGGTGCTGGCAGAGGAGGGGGCCGAGGAGGTGGTTGTTGCTGCAGGACGGAAGTCAGTATGTTGCGCTGGGTGCCTAGAGATAGATATTGGGACCTACCGAGAGCAGAGCCAATGCTCAGAGCAGACAGCGCGAAAGTTAAGAATTGCATATTGACGGTTTATTGAAGGAAGATCCTGATCTTAACGAATGTGAGGTTGTTGATGGTATATATGAAGGCGTCTAGCGCTGCTGTCGTACTGGCCGACAATTAGGATGCTTCGAAGGGAATGTGTACAGTTACTCAAGAATTGAAGTGAATGGGAGAACTGAAAGATAAACAGAAAAGATGAACCGGATGGGAATGGAAATGGAAGAGCCGACACGAGACTGGACAGATGGAGGAGAGAGCCAAGAAGAGTACTATCAGATGGGGAGCACAAGGCATAAATAAGAGTGCGGCGGCCGTTCCACGCCATGCCTGCCCTAGTCGCTGCACCTGAGATGCCAGGGGAGGGAGGCTCGGGGGCAGGAGGAGAAAGGCCTTGTGAGTGGTCCGAGGAGGGGAATGGCTGGTCATCGAAACGTGTTTGGACATGGCTCAAACGTCGACAAGGAGAAGGCCTTCTTTTCCTCCTCGGCGGCGGGTGGATGCGACATTGGATGGCGTGTCTCCAGCTCGTCGGATTTCTTTGGACGTTTGGCGCTGGCCTTGGCGGTCGTCGATGCGGCTCCCAAGCGCTTCAGCCACAACTTTATTCGCACGAGAAGCCTTCCCCCTCTCTTCGCTGCAACTAGAACTCACTCTCGCTCTCGCTCTCACTCTCACTCTCACACTTTCCCACTTGCAATTGGGAATACCCTCTTTCCTCAGTCCTTCGATTGATTTCCCATGTTCACCCCAATTTCACTCTCCTCCCTCGGACATTGGCCTCGCCGGAATCACCTTCATGCGGGCAAGCGAGCAGGGTGAAGCACGGAAGTGTGTCAGTCGAGACATCGACAAAACCGCGCGAGTTTCAAGCAGGGGTCGCCATGTCCCGTGACTTGGACTTTGACCACCGCAAAAAAAAAAAAAATCGAGATCAAGGTATGAGATGACGGAGAGATCAAAGTTGAGGATCTGCGTTTCGTGAATTCTCCTCGGTCGCATTTTTAATTTGCTGTTGAAGATAAGTTTATGTTGTGACCCTGTGGATCTATTTTAGGCTCGGGAGAAGTGTGGCGAGATTTGGACTGAGGTCCGAGACACTTCATTCATCAATTGCCACAATCGTCAATCTTGAGATGGGACGTGTTGGAGAGAATGACTTCGACGTCTTGAAATCGAGAATATCCTTCAATTGTACTGTACCACAACAGTTCTGAATATCCGATGTGGTGCAAAAACAGTTGTAAGATCATCCTACCAGCGATCTCGATTCCATCAACCGATTTCTCAATTGTTTCTCAACCCCGTTTCGAAACTCAATCACCTCCCAAGAAGGGGCACACTACAGGATCTTATCCCCCCTTCCAAGTAAACGCCAAGCGGAATCTTCACCAGGTCCAGGGGCAAGCAACGCACATCCTCCCTCCTTCCCATGTCCATCTCACCTCTTGCATCTTCCGCGTCCGAATCGTCTCCGTCGATCGCCTCAAACAATCAGTACGTTTGCTCTTCCAATAGAAGACCCGGAGGTGTCACCGTGTCACTCGGCATAAGCGTACTCCAGCACAGCCTCCCAGAGAAGCGGTACCTGAGATTCCGAGGCGGCGATCCCGGCCATCTCTCTCCTGCATCCGAAGCGGGAAAAGAAGCAAGATCTGCTTGTCGGCCACGACGGCCCCAGGTCTCATCCAATCAAAGGTATCGAAACCCTCAAACTCCTCCCCCGGATTTTTTGGCCTCATCTGATATCGCCCACGTACGTGCTGAAGTACGGAAGGACTCTGGAGCTCCGTCGCTCCAAACCGTAGCCTCGAGGACAATCAAAGCCCATCGTCTTTGAAAACTCTGAGAGCTCAGGTGCTTTTGCGACTCATTCCCTCATCTTTGTTTGAATGTTCTAGTGCATACATCCTTCACATGATTTTGTTGCACCACAGACGGCAGGCAATTCAACATGCATCCCTCATTTCTGATTAATACTTGAGTTCCTTTTACGGTCCATCGCCTGAGAAAAGCTCTAGATCCCCTTGGCAGGTTCAGGTTTTTAGGTCGATCCCCAATTACCTTAGTGAGAGGGCCCTGGTAGCTCCATCTCCGTCCTACCACGTGCCAACATTCAACCCTCTCATACAATCTAGATCACTCCAGCACTCTATCCCCCGAAATAAGACATCATAGCACCGCCGATAACCCCACATTCTCCATCGGTATGCCTTCCCGTTCGCTGTTGGCAACCAAATGTGCCGGCTGGAGGGTGGAAAGCTGAGCCAATACACCCGAATATAAATGTCCTTCTACCCCCTTCCGAGCTCCTGAGTTGATATTGGGGCTCGCCGCCCGCCGGTTGAATTGCTATTACCATTATTCTATTAAAGATAAAGGGCTCGCTTGGCTGACAGGTGTCTGCGAATTTTCTATTGCTTCTCTTTCACTGTATGCTAATCAATCCCGTCCGAAATCTGGGAATGCCCAATCTATCCTCTTCAGCTGCTGTCCCTGTTTTTTGCACTTTCCCTGCTTTCAGCTGACCCTTACTCGTCAATATCTGCAGCTTGCCGTCATATCATCATTTCTTCATAGGGGATTGGAGATAGAATGCTTGTTTGTTGCCATTTCGAGCTTGTCGAGTTGAGGTAGGAAGAAGGAAGGAAAAAGATCTGAAGATTGGATGTTAAGGTTAACCTAAAGCTTATCTATTTCACATGTCTAGGTCCCGAATCAGAGGCCAAGATCTCCTTTCCTAGCGCCAGATACATTTTAGACGCTGTTGCTCCTCCGTCAGTATGCGTCGTGGCATGACTTCCACTTGCCGTCCCTTTCTCTCTGCTCTGAGGGTGTCGTCACCGAGGCTTTCATCATAAGAAGGTCTCGTATGCCTCTTCTTGAGCAATACCTGCTCAGATATAAACATTTCTTGTCCTTCAAACAAACAAACAAACAAACTGGTTTTGATTCTCACTATTTGCTATTACCGTTCAAGATGCAACTCTCAACTCTCTTCCTCATGTTCGCAACGACACTTCTCCCCTTGATCTCAGGGGGGGCACGCTTAGCAGGCGGTCCTGCGGACCAAGTCACAGCAGCGAATACCTCCTGTAGAGAACTTACCGGAACATGGTTTGTCTCCTTCCCTTTTCCTTTTCCCTTTCCTTTCCATTCTCCTTACCTCTTTCCTCCCCCCTTCTCCCCATCTCCCTCCCTTCTTTCCCCTTCCCATCCCCTTTGCTCCGGTTTCTCGAGCTCAGGCTCACTCCGCTCGCAGGTGCGGCACGGAAGCCAATCAAGGGATCCGCGTGCTCCCCGACTGGGCGACCTTCTGGTGGAAGCTCTGCGTGCTCGAGATCCCGGGCAGTGTGGGCTTGCTCGATACGAGATGTATCCCTGGGGATGGTGCGGGTTTGGCGTTAGGAGACTCTAGTTCGACGATGACTAGGTGAGTCTGAAGTAGGGAGAGGGGAGAGGGGAGGCTAATGTGTGGGGTGATGCTGTAGTATGGGAGATTTGCCAACGCTGACTCTCGCGCTGGGAGTTCGATGGGTGTTGTGGTAAGGGAGGAGGAGGAAAGGGGCAGGGGAGTAGGGCATGATGGCTTGGGAGGCGGGAAGAGGAAATGCAGGGCTGGTGGACGGGAGGGTTGGAACTTGACTACCTGTTGTTCGATTCTAATATATAATTTGAGAAGCGAGTTTGTGTTGGAGTGTAATGTAGGATGCTCTACATTGAAGAGAGAAATAAACACTTGTCATCGGATAGCACTTTAACAAGACTAATCATCTCTTGACAGTTGTAAAGCACACCTCTTTTGGAATTCCTTGTGTTTGTGGCAGCTCTTGCCTATCCATATCCCCCTTATCTATAATACATATTACTACCATTTTATTCTCCCTTTTTCTTCTTTTCCTTCCCACCATAATAATCTCCTGTCCCATTCTACCATAACCCTAAACCCTCACAACACCCCTCACTTCCCCTCCGGCCGTTCTCTCTTACTCCGTCCCTCCTGCGCCCTCGCACACAATGTCGGCGCCGGCCCCTTTGTCTGCCACCCCTCCTCCCTCTTCACCTCTCCAACCCGCGTATACTTCTTACTATTCCCAAAAAAGTCAACCCAGTGCTTCAGCGCTTTGTAAACCTCCACTTTCGCCTTTCGTTTCTCCTGCTCCTTCATTATCTTCATCTGCGAGCTGGAATACCTGCAAACCTGTCAGCGGAGGCCCGGGGGGTTTTCCCCTGTGAAAAGGGGGGGAGAGGAAGGAATCTCACAGGCCGTCTATCTCAGGGTCGTCCAAAGGCAAGAACATCTCCTCTACCCCACGCATATCCGGCGTGCGATCCGTGTCAAAACAACCAGTCACAAAGCCTCTTGACGCGTCGGCGGCGGCGAACAGGTGATAACTGCCTCCGGGGCCGTAGTGCTTTCGCCCATTAGAGACATCGTAGATAGTTCCGTTGATCGCCAATAAAATCGGCTTCGTAGGATCCGTCCCATCAAATGCCTTCAAATCCGCATCTGTATATTGGATCGGACCGTTCTGTGGAGCCCCGAGAGTCAGCAAAGTATCTTGAAGGAGGGGGGGGGGGGGGGGGGGTAATTACAAGCCAGGATTTCAGAACGTCTAGACGGGTGAAGTCTGGTCGTTCTAGTCCCCACACAAAACTCTTCGAAAGCTACCCATAAAAACACCCCCTGCGCCCTAGGATAACGAATGTTAGAACGCGGAAGATATCTAGGATCGAGAAGCTGCTCGTGTCTTCTTCTTTCGCCAGTGTGGATGCGGATTTGGGTGACTGCGAGGGCGCGGAGGGAGGTTCTGCTTTCTTTCTTTGGCGGACGTCTGCCATTTTGGAATTGGTTGTAAAGAGGGAGAGAGGGGTAATTGGAGGGAGTAATTGAGGTCGTGAAGTAGTGATGGGAGAGAAGAGGACAGGTGGTTGCTATAACGGTGATGCTGTTTAGCCTCGCAGCGCTATGTCGGCCTTGTGGAGAGGTACTGCGCGTGTATCACCAGATATGAAGAATCGGACTCCCACAATCAGCAATTGACAATGATGAGTATTGGCAATTGAGAATTGAGAGTTGGAGGGTATGGATTTTGCTTCGTGAGGGGGAGAGAAGGGTGGAGGTTGACACGCATGGATGTCACTGATTTTATGTGTCGGCTTGGCTTGCATATGAGGTTAAGCCGGCGCTGCTGCTCGAAACCAGGCATATCAACGCTCAGAAGTTGGCATAGTGCTTTCCAGTCCCTGGTATTCGTTGGGGCAAGCCTGGTCATCCTCAAGGAGGCGTCAGTTTACTGCTTCACAGAGTCACAACTCAGAGACGAAGGTCCTTCATTCCAGCCTATCTACTGGCAGTTGTAGAAGCAATCCGTCTGCATATTGTGCATGCTACACCGAAAAACCAGTCCCGCGCCATCCATTGCAAGTGTAATGCCCAATCCATGCCTTTCCTTACTTCATCTTCCGGTTGATCGATTTCGAAGAGGTACGGCATCGTAGAGAGGTTAAGGTATCGAGACCAGTTTATTCCGCAGCAGCAACCGCACGAGCTGTCGTTTTGTTAGCATCCATCTAATTCACTTTCCCATTTGTGGTTTTGGTTTGGTTGTCTCGGAGGGGATTCGGGGATATGGAAGTCGTACTGTAGATCGTCAACTTGCTATGTCCAACAACCTTCTTGATTTGTCCCTTCTCCTCCAAATCGGCAAGACATCTCCGCGCGAGGGAACCATTGATCTTTAGTCTATCGACGAGGGTGGCGACTGTGATGAGGCGGTAGGATTGGACATCCTTGTAGAGTTTATCGGAGGTGGCTTTGTCGAGAATGACGGCGTGTTGGGCCTTGTCCTTGACTGTATCTCATTAGGATTTGCGGCTCTTTGTACTGCAGCGAGTACGTACCCTTTCCCTTGGACCACTGTGAAAGGTGTTAGCATGTCTTCATGATGTTGGGTCCAAAAATGTCTCGAAGTCAATCTTCAAGTCTTTTGGGCTCGGACAACGGAACAGAACGGGAAAACCTGCTTTCTTCTTCTGTTTCTTAGCGCCGGTCGCAGCTGGGGCTGTAGAACAGTCAGATTGATGCTATTCGGAGGTTGAGACGATGGGAAGAGCGTGGTGAAGTGAAAGCGGGGTGAAGCCTGCGCTCGCCCCAGGAGACAAGCCGTGGGAGCAGATCTCTCTCTCGCGACAGACAGGCGAGATGGAAATTCGCTCCATGCGATTAGACGTACCCATGATGACTGATTTCTGTGGTTGTCGTTGGAGTTGAAATCGTGAGGTCCAAGTCGTCAATCTGCAATTTGCAGCTGCAAAGTTCGCTTAACTGACTGGCGTCACACACAAAGAGAGGGTTGGAAGCCCTGTTGTGCCACTCCAAACCCTTTCCGCACTAGCTCAACACAAACCGTTCGCGAGCAATTTTCCGAACATCACCAAGCGAATTCAAGATTCCCTCGATTTCTCATCTCGAACCACAACACCAAGGTCAGCATCGCCATCATGTCTGACAACGGGGAAATCGAAGTCGAAGCCGTCTCCGGCTACCAGGTTCTTCCCAAGGAGGTCACTGAGGAAATTGGCAGCATCAAGCTGTTCAACAAGTGGAGCTATGAGGACGTCGAAATCCGCGACATCTCGTTGACGTAAGGATTCCCATCTAGAGGGGGAATTGAAGCTGTATGGGAGAGGAGATTATGACAAAATTGGGGGAATTGGGCAATCTGCGAAGTCCTGGCTAACAATCCCCTCTGCAGCGATTACATCCAAATCCGCGCCCCAGTCTACATCTCCCACTCCGCCGGCCGATACGCACAAAAGCGATTCAGAAAGGCACAATGCCCCATCATCGAGCGTCTCACCAACTCCCTGATGATGAACGGCCGTAACAACGGAAAGAAGCTCATGGCCGTCCGTATCGTTGCACACTCCTTCGAAATCGTACGTCACACCCTACAACCACACAACCGCAAACTAACATATACACCCAGATCCACATCATGACAGACCAAAACCCCATCCAAGTCGCCGTCGACGCCATCGTCAACTGCGGGCCTCGCGAAGACTCAACCCGAATCGGCTCCGCAGGTACCGTCCGTCGTCAAGCCGTTGATGTCTCCCCCCTCCGCCGCGTCAACCAGGCCATCGCGCTCCTCACAATCGGTGCCCGCGAAGCTGCGTTCCGGAACGTCAAGTCAGTTGCTGAGTGCTTGGCCGAAGAGTTGATCAACGCCGCGAAGGGAAGCAGTAACTCATATGCCATCAAGAAGAAGGATGAGCTGGAGCGTGTCGCCAAGAGCAATCGGTAAATGGATTGTGTCTGTGTGGTGGTGGGCGTGTTTGCATGGTATGGAATCGCATGGGAATGGGGTTTCGATTTGCGTGCGTTTATGGAGGGCATGGGCGACTTCTGGCTGCGTTCTGAATGTCACATAGATGGCTCAGTCGAATACTAACGCTCCGAATCCATTGCGGCTCCGGATTTATATGTGAAAATGAGAAACGGGGGTTGAACGTGTGAGGTCAATTCTCTCGCGGAGCTGGAAGTGAGCAGCTTTGACAGCTTGCAGAGATTATAGGATAATTTCAGCCTGCAGCATTCAAGAGCAAAAGCAGCGTGTTCAAGTGCACACACTCTTTTTTCATAGTCCTGCTTCATTTGTTTTTCAACTGCCATCATGATTGGACACTTTAGCGTCATATAGTCAGCCCAAAATTGAAGAAACTGCGTCGCTCCTCCGCCTTCAAACATACAACCCTCTACATTCCTATAATCACATCCTCCCCTCAGTGAGAATATGTCAGAAGCTCGGAAACTAAGGAAAGTTCCAGCAAAATACCAGTGTTCGATTGTCAGCCATACGTCCCCTTTCGACGAATCGGCCAACCTTATCAATAGGCAGTAGGTCAGCCTTGCACATCAAATTCCTTCACCTCATCTCTTACTCTCAAAACCAAACCTACTAATAGCCAGTTTCAAGAAATTTTCATCCGCCACGAATCTCGTACTTAGTGGTGGCAATGTTTGCAGTCCAGCACACAAGCTCTCCATCGTCCATATTGGGAGCCGCCATAGGGCTCGAAGCTCTCCCCAGACCTCTCGACACCACAACCACATCTAACCCCATATCTCATGAACGTCACGAGAGTCAATGGCGCAATGGCCACATGACTCTACAAGAGATGGAAGAGAAGTCCTAGAGATACATAGGATATAAAGGCTACTCCAGGTTCGGAGCATCTGACCCAGACCTTTTTATTCTCAGAAGATTCGCGCCAGAAAGTACTCGTCCAGCCTTGTGGTTCCAATACCATGTATCTGAAGCTTCAGAAAGTTTGGAAAGAATTGATGCGAGACAAATCAAAGGGACGTGGAAGATATCCACAAAGGTTCGCTTCGAGACGACCCCGAGGATCGAAGGAGAGCATTGGAAACTCTTCTGGCCGCAATATCAAGATACACATTAGTCGACAAAAGCCGTGTCTTAAGAATTGGGTGAGCAGGACAGAGCTGACATATAAGAAAGAATATAAAAATGGGACAAAATGGGACACGTAATTATTCGGAAAACAACCTCTCTAATCCGTATTGCTGGTGAGAACAATGACCATATTGAGTTGGTAAAAGTTGATTAGAATTGGGCTGTATTAGTTAGCTTCTATATTTGATCTATAAACAATACATATTGTTTCCATTACGGATTGGTGTCACGATTAGAGGCTAGGACGAGGGTTGTGGGAAGTAGTTTCTGATTCTGTGAGATTAGGTTGCTTTGCAACACATTCCTCGAAGATGGTAACATAATCTTGAAGGCGTGTTCGAGCACACGTAGGTTGGACCTCAAATAGACCCAGGCTCTAGGAGCGCCTTCTCTCTTAACGTAGCCACGTACCCGCTCTGATCCCCGAAGGGTATTACCAAATCAGGAATTCCTGCTCCTTATCTCCGTGTGCGTCGACATAAGCAGAAAATAAATCGTCGTTGTCAGTAGTATTGTCAAGCTCTCCCGGCACAAAGCAATCTCCGCTCACGAGATCCATCCATTTTCGCGTCGTGGTCGAAGTATCGAGGGTGAAAGCGAGCCTCTCAAAATGCAAAGCCTGTCGCCTTCACCCCAACGCTCTCGGGGCAGACAGATCCGAAAGACTGCCTGCCCCGTACGATCGTCGGATAGTTCGATTCTGCCGCTCCGTACTACTTTCTATCTTAATTAGTATAGTAAGCCCCGTAATCTCAAGATAAGCCTATATATATTAACTTTTCCGTAATCCACTTTATAAATATTATACTAATATAAAAATATATATTATAATTAATATAAAACTAGATTATATATTAAGAAATAGGAAATATATTATCTATTATTCTTTTTATTTAGCCTTTATTCTATTTTATATATAGTTTATTTATAGAAAATTAATATAGAAAACTAATATTAGAAATTAATATAAAAAGAGAAATAAAGAATAATTAAATATTTATAATTAGTATATAATTAGTACTTAAATCGAAATAAGATTATATTTATTTACTTTTATAAGCTTTTAATTAAAAGATTTATTAATTAAAAGATTTATTAATTAAAAGATTTATTAATTAAAAGATTTATTAATTAAAAGATTTATTAATTAAAAGATTTATTAATTAAAAGATTTATTAATTAAAAGATTTATTAATTAAAAGATTTATTAATTAAAAGATTTATTAATTAAAAGATTTATTAATTAAAAGATTTATTAATTAAAAGATTTATTAATTAAATAGTTTTTAATTTCTTTAATTTCTTTCTTTACTTTTACTTTTTTGCTTTCTTTATTTCTGCCTTATAATACTTTTATAATTTAGCCTTTAATATAAGCTTTTTTATATAAACTAATTAATTTAATAAAAATATTTCTAATTAAGAAAATTTAAAAGATATTTCAAGTTCTAGAGCTTATATAATATGGGAGGGAAACTATAATAAGACAAAAACCTATATAAAGTATACTAGAGTACAAAACGTGACTTAATAGCAAAATAACAAGATTAAAAGCATAAATAGTAAAGTATAAACAGTATATAGTATGCAAAAGCTTAATTAATTAAATACTCAGGAGGGATTATTCTCTAGAACTATAGAAAAACCAGCTTTCTTATATAATTTCTACAAGTTATATATAAGAGGCCGCGGCTTTTACTATATAACCAAAACCTTAAAACCGCCAAAATAATATGATTTTTAGAGAGTACAGCCTGCCGTACTATAATAGCTATAATTTAAAGAATAAATTTATTATAGAATAATAAAAAAAGAAAAATAATTAAATTAATTAATTAGTACTAATATTACTTTTATAAATAAAATAAAAATTATTATTAGAAATAAATAAACTAATATTTAAATACTATATTTTAGAAATATAAATAAGATTATAATTTGAAATAAAAGAGATATTTATATCTAAAATAAATAAATTTAGTAATTTTTTATAATTTCTAAATATTTTTCAAATTAGTATTATTTTTAATAATAATAGTATTTATTATAAAAATATTAAAGTTAAGCTTTTAATATTAATAGAATTAATTATTATATTATTAAAATTATTTCTATTATTTTTCTTATATTATAAATACTTTAAATTTCTAATATTAATTTCTATTATATATTTAATTACTTTATAATATCTTTATTTATTAATAATTTAGCTATTTCTTATAATTCTTTTTCGTATTATTAAGCTTTATATTTCTTTTTTATAAAAGCAAGCTTTATATTAATAAATACTCTTTTATAGTCTAATATAAATATTAGTTTCGGGAAAATTAAGGTATTTAAAATATAAGCTAATATAGCTTCCTTTAATTTAAGTTAAATATCTTATTATATAATAGGTCTTTTATTTAATTCTTTAAATATAAAAATAAAATATTTAATATTTTTAAATAAAAGTTTTATAAATATAAAATTTAGAACCTAAAAAAATATAATTAAACTATTTCTATTTTAATAATTTAAAGCTAAAAAAGAGAAAAGAATCTCGAAAAAGCCTTAAATCTAAATAATTATAAACTATATATAGGCTTATATATTAGCTTAAGCTTATTATAATAGCTAGTATAAGTGTGACGGCGCTGGCTGGGGGCCAAAGGGGGGTGGCTATTATATGACTGGTTTCACCTAGCTAGCCGGCGTTTCAGTGGTTTTAGCTAGTATTTCCCTCCTTTTATCCCCTTTCCTTCTCTCTCTCCTTCTTCTCCTTAGCTTAGTATTCTCAATACATGGGATTTTCCTGGATCTTTGAGCCTTTATACCATTGCCTCGATCCCGCCGTTATAATAAGGGCATAATCTGCTAAGAATAGGATATCGGAAATAGATATAAAACGAAGCTAAGCCGGAATTATTTGAACGGAATAATACTAAAGGTTAAGGCATTCTTCCTACTTTATTCTATAACTTAGTATTTTCTAATATATAAGATTCTTTAAACTTTAAGCCTTTAATTATTATATTAATCTCGCTATTATACTTATAATATATAATCTTAACTTATATTTCTCGATTTAATTTTATATATCTAATTAGTTCTAGTCTAATTTCTACTAATACTATATATTATAATAATTATAATATTATTTCTTTTCTTAAAATAAGCTTATTTTCGAGCTTTAAAAATTCTTATTAAATTCTTAAATTATAAATTATATATTAAAGACTAAAGGCCTTTTATATATAATTTAAAGAATTTCTATTTATTATATATAATTCTAGTAATATATTATTTCCAATATAGTTTAATTAGTAAAAAAGATTCTAAAATAATTTTAGTTATTTGAAATTCTTATTATAAAAGTTCTAAAAAGCTAAAAGATTATTATTTAATAAAAATACTAAATATTATTTTAATTTTTAATTTTATTCTTTTTACTAAATTTAGTATTTAAGCTTTTTATAAAATAGCTTTATTACTAGTATTTCTTAAATTTTATATTCTATTTTTTTATTTTATAATTCTAATAATAAATTTTTTAGATTTATTTATTTAAAGAAAAAGTTATTTAAATCTTTATATAGTTTCTTTATATAAAATACTAGATATATTTTTATTAATTTCAAAAACTTAAGCCTAAAAGAATATTTAAATTATTTTAGGATTTTATATAATTCTTTTATTTAATTAGCTAGCTTATAGTTCAAGTAATTATTTTTCTAATATTTAATAAAAATTTATATTTTATTTTCTATTTCGAAATTTATTAATTAATAATATTTATATTTATATTATATTCTTTTATATTTTTTACTATAATTTATAAAGCTATATTATTAGAGCCTTTATTTTTTATTTATTTAGTTTTTTCTTTAAAATATTTAATTATATTTGAATTTTCTAATTAATAGTTTTTTTTTTATAAAAATAAATAAAAACTAGCTTATAGTTTTATAAATTAGATCTATTTATTAATAATTAATTATTACTATTTATTTATTTTAATTATTTTAGTAATAGTTCGTATAGAAATATAATTATTACTTAAAATATTAGTTAATAATCTCTATTTAGTTATTAGTTTAGAAATTATTAATAATTAATAACTTGAGCTTTATACTAATATATTTATAGACTTTGCTTTAGAAATCTAGTATAAATTAGAAATCTTAATTAAATATTATAGTTTCCGAAATATTAATTTAGTAAACTATATAAATTAAAAATAAAAATACTAACTTTTTAGTTATAATTATATTTCAAATAAGAATTATAATAAAGTATTTATCTAGATAATTAATAAAGATTATTACTATATTATATTTATTTCTATTTTCTAAATACTTTTCAAAATTTATTAATATATATTACTAGAAATAATTAAATGCTAATAATAAATATAAAAGATTTAACTTTTTATTTCTAGAAATATAAAGTTATTAATAAATATTTATATTTGGCCTAGCTAATAATAATAAACCTAAAAAAACTATTAAACCTTGGCTTATTTTAGGTATTTTATTAGAAGCTATATATATATTTTCTAAATAAAAATAATATATAAAAATATTTTAAATATTATTATATTATTAAATATAAATAATTTATTATATTATAAAAAAAACTATTTTATAATATTTAAATATCTTTTTTCTATTTCTTGCTTTATTTTATAGCTTTTCTAGCTTTAATAACTTTTAATTTTTATTTAATAGCTTATTTATAAACTAGATATTATTATATTAAATTTCTTTTTAAACTAGATTTATTAAGGCCTTAATTAAAACTAATTAAAAATTCTATATAATATTATTATTAATCTTTTATTATAAAAGATGAATTTGAATTTAATAAACTATTATTATTTTATTTTAGGTAATTATATTCTTATATTTTTTACTTAAGATATTTATTTAATTAATTTATTTAATATATAAGCTTAAAATAATAATAAAAAAATATTTTATTTAATAAGTTTATTTTATTAAAAGCTTTTTATAATTATAAAATACTTGAGAGCTTAATAATCTAAATAAATTATAAAGAATACTTTCTATAAATCTTTTAGTTCTATTTATTATTTAATTAAAATAATAATAATAATAATAATAAGTATTTCTTTAT